AAGAAATCAAAAAGTTTCTGGAAACAAATGAAAATGATCACACAACAACCCAAAACTTATGGGATACAGCCAAGGCAGTCCTGAGAGGGAAGTTTATAGCAATACAGACCTACCTAAAGAAAACAGAAACATTTCAAACAAATGAACTTACTCTACGCCTACAAGAACTCGAGGAACAACAACAAAAAACAGCCCAAAGCAAGTAGAAGGAAGGAAATAACTAAGATCAGAGCAGAACTAAATGACATAGAGACTAAAAAGTACAATTCTAAAGATCAATGAATCCAGGAGTTGGTTCTTTGAAAAAATAAACAAAATAGACAAGCCTTTAAGTAGGCTCATCAAGAAAAGAAGGAACGGACACAAATAAACACAATCAGACATGAAAGAGGAGAGATTACAACTGACACCACAGAAATAGAGAGGATTGTAAGAAATTACTATGAAGAACTGTATGCCAAGAAATTTGAGAACCTAGGGGAAGTGGACACATTTCTAGAAAAATATAATCTCCCAAAACTCAATGAAAAGAAGTAGAACACCTGAATAGACCAATAACAGCAAAAGAAATTGAAGCAGTAATCAAAAAACTCCCATCACACAAAAGCCCTGGACCAGATGGATTCACAGGAGAATTCTACAAAGCATTTAAGGAAGAGCTAACCCCCATTCTTCACAGACTATTCCAAAAAATACAAAAAGGATGGAAAACTCCCTAACTCCTTTTATGAAGCCAGCATCATCCTAATTCCAAAACCAGATAGAGATACAACAAAGAGAAAACTTCAGGCCAATATCGCTGATGAACATAGATGCTAAAATCCTCAACAAAATATTAGCAAATCGCATCCAACAATATATCCAAAAGATAATACACCATGACCAAGTGGGTTTCATCCCAGGGATGCAAGGATGGTTCAACATTCGCAAAACAGTAAATGTAATTCATCACATAAACAAAAGCAAAGACAAAAACCACATGATCATATCAATAGACGCAGAAAAAGCTTTCGATAAGGTACAACACCCATTTATGATAAAAACACTCAGCAAAATGGGAATAGAGGGAACATTCCTCAATATAATAAAGGCCATTTATGAGAAACCTACAGCCAATATCATACTCAATGGACAAAAACTAAAAGCTTTTCCACTAAGATCAGGAACAAGACAAGGATGTCCACTTTCACCACTCCTATTCAATATAGTATTAGAAGTTTTGGCCACAGCGATCAGGCAGGAAAAGGAAATAAAAGGCATCCAAATAGGAAAGGAGGAAACAAAATTGTCACTGTTTGCAGATGACATGATAGTGTACATGGAAAATCCTATAGACTCTACCCAAAAACTGCTCAAACTAATTAATGAATTTGGCAAACAGCAGGATACAAAGTCAATATCCAGAAATCAAAGGCATTTTTGTATACAAACAATGAATCAGCAGAAGCAGAAATCAAGGAAAAAATCCCATTCGATATAGCAAAAAAGAAAAATAAAATATCTGGGAATAAACCTAACCAAAGAGGTAAAAGACCTGTATGCAGAAAACTACACAGCACTGAAGAAAGAAATCAAGGAAGACACAAACAAATGGAAACATATACCGTGTTCATGGATTGGAAGAATTAACATCATCAAAATGTCCATACTACCCAAAGCAATATACAGATTCAATGCTATACCCATTAAAGTACCAATGTCATATTTCGCAGACATAGAACAAACACTTCAAAAATTTATATGGAATCATAAACCCCGAATAGCAGCTGCTCTTTTGAGAAAGAAGAACAAAGTAGGAGGGATCACAATACCCGATATCAAACTGTATTACAAAGCCACTGTAATCAAAACAGCCTGGTACTGGCATAAAAACAGGCACATAGACCAATGGAACAGAACAGAGAGCCCAGAAACCAACCCAATCCTCTACAGTCAATTAATATTCGACAAAGGGGGCAGTAACATAAAATGGAGTAAAGATAGCCTCTTCAGCAAATGGTGTTGGGAGAACTGGACAGCTACGTGCAAAAAAATGAAACTTGAGCACCAACTTACACCATACACCAAAATAAATTCAAGGTGGATAAAAGACTTAAATATAAGCCATGACACCATTAAAGTCCTAGAGGAGAACATTGGCAAGAAAATCTCAGATATTCCACGCAGCAACATTTTTACAGATATGTGCCCTAGAGCAAGGAATATAAAGGAAAGAATAAACAAATGGGATCTTATCAAAATAAAAAGCTTCTGCATGGCTAAAGAAAACAGTATTAAATTAAAAAGACAACCAACTGTATGGGAAAACATATTTGCCAATGATACCTCAGACAAAGGTTTAATCTCCAAAATATACAAAGAACTTACACGACTCCACTCTAGGAAGACATCGAACCCAATTAAAAAATGGGAAAAGGACTTGAACAGACACTTCTCTAAAGAGGACATACAGAACATCCAGAGACACATGAAGAGATGCTCAATATCGTTAGCTATCAGAGAGATGCAAATTAAAACCACAATGAGATACCACTTTACACCAGTCAGGATGGCTATAATAGACAAAGCAACAAACAACAAATGTTGGAGAGGGTGTGGGGAAAAGGGGGACCTTAGTTCACTGTTGGTGGGATTGTAGACTGGTACAACCATTATGGAAAACAGTATGGAATTTTCTCTGAAAAATAAAAATTGACCTGCCTTTTGACCCAGCAATTCCACTGCTAGGATTATACCCCAAGAATCCTAAAACATCAATTTCAAAGAACCTATGCACCACAATGTTCATAGCAGCACAATTTACAATAGCCAAGAGTTGGAAGCAACCTAGGTGCCCATCAGTAAATGAATGGATCCAAAAATTGTGGTACATATACACCATGGAATTTTATGCAGCAGAGAGAAAGAAGAGAGCTACTACCTTTTGCGCAACATGGATGGAACTGGAAAGCATTATGCTGAGTGAAATAGGCCAGGCATTGAAGGACAAATACCATATGATCTCACCTTTGACAGGAAGCTAAAGAATAAAACAAATAAGCAAATAGAATAAAAACAAAGACGCTGAAATAGAGAACAAGTGGGCAGCGACCAGAAGGGAGAGGGAAGGGAACTTAAGGGGAAAAAGGGGGAGGGATTTTGAGGAACAAGTATGAATGACACAGAGATGAGGACTTGGGGGGGGGGGGGAATGGGAGGGAGGGGGGAGACCGGGCGGCGGGGGGAAGAGGGAAAAAAAAATGTACTTGAAAAGTAACCAAATAAAATTATTAAAAAAAAAAAAAAAGTTAGTTTGCTCATACATGGTTATGTTTATTTTATTTGAATTTAAACAAGTTTATTAAGTCCTATACTAGCCATGAGTTCGAGAACAATGCTTAGCACCCATTTATACAGACTTAAGACTCTGGATAGTTGCTGTATGGTTGGAATTAGTCATTAAATTACAATCACATATTACTTTTTAAAAATATTTATCAGAGTTGGTCGGTGTCTCTCGGTTGGAAAGTCGTCCTGTAAGCTGAAAGGTTACAGTTCGATTCCCAGTCAGAGCACGTACCTAGGTTGTGGATTTGGTCCACAGTTGGGGCGCATATGAGAGGAAACTGATCAATGTTTCATTCTTTCCCATTCCCTCTCTCTAAAATCATTAAGCATGTCCTCAGGTGAGGATAAAAAGAATAAACAAGATGTCAGATAAACACAAGCATTGTTTCCACTTTATATCAATATGTTTATCTATATTCTAAAATTTAATAGCACTTTTAGTAGCGTAAAGTGCTGTAGTATGAGGTAGATAATGCCTAACACCAAAAATCAAGAGCTAGCAATATATTCATGCTTTTTATAATTTAAGGTGATAAGTACAAAAATGGTTGCGCCTGCATCTAGGAAATGGAAGGATTGGAGGGTGGGGCTGCTCTCTTTTTGTATTGAGCATTGTAGTTGTATTGGGTGCTTTAAAGTATATGCCTGTGTTGTGTAGATCTTTAATAACAATAAAAACAAAGTTGTGGAAATTTTTATTGAGTTACTAAATAAACCTGACTTCAACTAAATCTGGTTTCTAAAAATACATACGAGGTCTGTCCAGGAAAATGCAGCCATTATTAATAAGTCTGGTTTGTGGGACATCTGTGTGACCTAGCAACAGCCAAGGAGAGTGGACAGGAATGCTCACGCATGAACTGTGATAAGTTCACTGTACTAGTCAGTAGAGGCAGTAGACACCATTGAGTGAGCATGTGCACTGTGTGTGTGGCCATTGATTCAAAATGACTGAGTGAGTAGAGCAACAAATCTGCATCAAATTTTGCATTAAGCTTGAATATTCCTCTGCAGAAACTATTCAGATGATTAAGAAGGCTGCAGCTATGGGTAACTGTTGATTGGCAGCTTCGTCATGACCATACGCCTGCTCATGCATCACATCTTATGCAGAGTTTTTTGTGAAACATCAAATCACCAAGGTGACTCGGCCCTGCTACAGCTCAGATTTGGCATCCTGTGACTTATTCCTTTTCCCAAACTAAAATCACCTCTCAAAGGGAAGAGAGAGATTTCAGACCCTCGATGAGATTTGGCAAAATACAAAGGGACAGCTGATGGTGATTGGGAGAACTGGGTGAGGTCACAAGGTGCCTACTTTTAAGGGGACTGAGGAGTCATGCACAATGGTTTTTTTAATCTTCTATAAATGTCTCTGTTTTTTATGACATGGCTGGATACCTACTGGACAGGCCCCATATGTGTTAAAGGTCATTTTTTTTGCCAACCTTATTTTGGGGGTTCTTTTTTAGCATTTTATTATGAAAATTTTAGGAGCATAGAAAAGATTAAAGGATTATTCCTTAAACCACCCACAGTTTTATCCTACAGTTAACAGTTTGCTACATTTGCTTTGTTACATATCTTCTCACCTATGGGATTTTTAGTTATGGATTGTACTTTTTCTGAGAAAGGATTTCTCTTTTTTTGAGACATAAAGGAATCTGAAGAAGAATATGATTATATTCATGATAAGTTTGTCTTTTAGGGAACTCTCAGACTTTGATAAAGATGGAGCATTGACACTGGATGAGTTTTGTGCTGCTTTTCATCTGGTAGTTGCTAGGAAGAATGGCTATGACTTACCAGAAAAACTCCCTGAAAGTTTAATGCCCAAACTGATTGATTTGGAAGATTCAGCAGGTAAGATCCAGGAGCCTGAAGAGACCTGATTGCATGCCTTGATAAGTAATACTTGGTTCTCAAAGCAAAATCAGGATACAGATGTTAAAACTTAGGTTAAGAACATAGACATTTCATTAGGAGCATGTAGATTTGCCACTAGAATATGATGTACAGCCTGACCTTGGATTAGTGTTTTATCTCTTTAATTGGCTTTAAACAAAAATAAAGAGTATATGCCACAACTTTGACACTTGTGACTTACTGAGATTTGAAGAGCATTTCACTGTGTCTTATTTTGCCCTCCTTTAATTGTATTTATATTGTCTGAAGTGGCTAAAGTAGCCTGTCTTCATTACAACATTTTTTCATTTCATGCATCTTAATTTGTTGAAGGGAAATGCCTGGCTTATCTTTGGACCTTTGCAATCTGTAAGCATTTTCCTTTAAAAACTCAATTCTTCAGACTCTAAAGAAATCTGGAAATTTTGTGTTTGATGTAGATTTGCTGCATTGTTGATCATGTTTACAAGAATGCTTTTGTAAATGCTCATTTATTGACAGCTTTGTTTTAAAGGAAACAAGAATATAAGGGGTAAAAAATGAGTACTTAAAAAAAATTCTGAATGACTAAAAGGAAATCTAATCTTAAAGAGTCTAATTAAAATTAATTGTCTTAGGTTTTTTTATGTGAATTCTTTTTAGACATGGTGGAAGGAACTTTGTACTTCTAAAAGAGAACTTAGAACAGAATTTGACTCTCAAAAGGGCATTCATCTATTAGGCAGCCTCTCTTTGACCCAGAATTGCATATGATCTGACTTTATTGCCTGAATTATATGTTAGGAATCTTTTTGACTATTACTGTCAAAAAGAAAATGGTCTCCTTAGCGTCAGGAATCTGAGTGTGCTTCTAATTTTGCTAATTACTCCTGTGACCTTGGGCAAGTTCTAACCATTTACTGTATTACTTCCTTTTTGTTTCTCCACCTGAAATGTGGATTCGATAACATTCACATTTCAGGACCTGAATTGTACACTGACTTGTCAACCAATAAGTGAATGTAAAATTTTAGGGTTGGTTTTACTTTTTTAGAAACATCCTATAACAATCCTAGGATTTTCCTGATCATTTCAAGTGGTTATTAGGCATCAGTTAACATCTAACTTGAGCTAAAATGTTAATATCATTGTTGGATAATTTTGCTTCAAAGTACGTTGATTTACCTAATTAAGAAATAAACAAAAAGAACTTTGTTTGGTTTATTCAATAGTAGCCCAAAGGGAAGAAATTCTGATAGCTACAGACTTGCTATGCCATTGATTTAGAAATTAGGCCCAATGTCTGGAATTTTGCTGTGACTTTAATCCTTTGAAAACTGGTACCATATTAATAAGTCAAGCTTATTCTGTTACATGTCATTTTCTAGAGACTTGTCTGATTCTGTTATCTGTTGTATATAGGTTGGTAAATCTGGCTTTTGCATGTAGTCTTTTCTTTTCCTTTTATTTAATTGAAATAAAGTCCTTTTTTTTGTAAATTTGATCTGCTGCCTGAATTTTAAGGTTGATGATTCAAGTAGAAGTTCTTTCCTGGGCATATGTATTTTTACTCCTGTTAGATCTTTTTAGTGAAGAGTCACTCTGATTTTTTTTTTTTTTGCCTGTGTGTATAATATGTACTGTTGTTCTAACTATAATTTTAAAGGTATCAAAGTCTCAGATAGTGTTTTCCCATTTCAACATAATCTATATAGTTTTCTGAATTTATTTAGATCTGCTTTGCCTACTTACAAATGATAAATTTGGAATTTTGTTAATTTAGGGGTTGGGAAACTGATGCTTTTTCTCCTGGCTGTCATAAGCCTGAAATTGTTATGACACAAAGTTTTTTGTGTATGGAAATTGTCATGTGGCACTGGATCAATCAAGATCTGTAAAAATCCTTTTAAATACCTGTGGTTTTAGAAGATCACAGTTGAAAGGGAAATACCCAAGCAATATCTTTTGCGTGACCTGAAAATTCAACATAAATATTTCCTCTCTGGAGCCTTTCTGATTTAAAGACAAAAGTAGTTTCTGTCTTCTCTGATCTTTCCCACATGCTGTTTATTGTGGCATACATCACACTGAATCCTGTTTTTCCCCCCATTTCTACCACTGCACTTTGAGTTACTTTTTTTTTTAAAAAGGGAATATATCATATTCACTGTAATACCCCTAGGATCTAGCATTTTGCCAGGCGTGTACCAAGTTGCTCAGTAAATAATTACTAAGTGGATTAATACTAAATGTGTGCCATTTTTAAAATAGGATATTTTTCTTATTTCTGTCTTTGAAAACACAGTCTTTTGTTATATGTTTGTAATGCTGGGACAAGCTAAACTATTCACTCCACAAGTATGTTTCTGTTTTTATGAGTTAATAACACAGGAAAATAGGTGGTGACAGTGGTGACTTGCGTTACAGCAGTTCGGAGAGATGAGCTAGGCTTTCTCAAGGCAGACATGGGTGGGATGTATATTTTTTTCGAAAATTATTCGAACAAGTTTGTGGGATTAAATAGCAGATAAAAATAAGATAGCTAAGGATCATAGGTACAAGTATTTAAATGGACCTGAATTAAAATCCTTAATATTTAACATCAGCACTAAAAGAAGGCATACAGAAATTCATATGTGGAAACATCTTTCTGAAGCTGAATTCAAGAAAAGAATGTTTATTTTCTAAGAGTGGTTATCTTCATATGTGGAAATTCATATGTGGAAACATCTTTCTGAAGCTGAATTCAAGAAAAGAAAGTTTATTTTCTAAGAGTGGTTATCTTCTCTAAAAATATATATATAGATATAGGTATAGATATAGATATAAAGGTGACCTGCCAACTTTCCGAAATACTGTATCTTCAAGGAAAAAAACAAACATGTTGAGATGCTTTGCATCTTAATCTTGGCCTCTGAAGACTCTTCTTTGTAGTAGGGTTGCAATTATACACATACTGTATTTTATGGGATTATTTGATAAAATATTTCTATGTTAAGCTAGAATAGAGGCCCTTGGATGAGCAGTAACAAGATTGATCTTCTTCATTATATCTCAGCAGTTGGTAGGGTGCAAATTAGTATATAAGTAGACATTTTGTTAATGACTCATTGGATGAACTACTTATTTTTTAAACTGTTTTCTGTCTTCACATAACAATGCTCATGTGAGCAGTTCAGTAATATCTGATTCAGTGCTCAAAGAGGGAAAGGAATGCACACTCCCCATTCCATCTCCTCCTTCATAAACACTATTTATACAGTAAACTTGAGCGGATTTTCGTTGTTGATATGGTGCATGACGTAGATCCTCCAACTCCTAGAAATACTTCTAATATGGATGTTTTTAAAAGCCAGTTTTTTTTAATGAATAGGTTACTACAAAAATTTATAGTTGATACTAGTTTGATGTGAGTTAATCACTGTTAAGAGTTTGTCTGTATTCAGAAAATTTTAGCATGAAAAATTACACAGGTAACATATGCAGGTGTCTGTTTTAACACAAGTGTATTCACACTATACATTCTTGATTGTTTTTTCTTATAATGTTGGACATCTTTGCACTTTGTCATCTACAGACTTGTTACCTTAATTTAATCTGTCTCTTACTGATGGATTTTAGGGCAGTTTCTTGGTTTTAACTTTAAAACAATTTTTCAGGGTACATGCTTCTACATATATCTTTGTTTTGTACCATGAGCCCACAATCTTTGTTTTTGAACATTTCACTCTCCAAGTGCCCTTAGTTGCAGAGGGAAAAATAATGAAAATATGCATTAATATTCATCATTGACTTTTCAGTTAAGGAATTACTTTCTAACCCCCCCCATACAAACCCATGTACAGTCTTAACATGAGAATTATTTAGCTCCAGATAGTAGGGCTTTATAGGTCACAAATCAGTACAATTGCAAATATTGGCAAAGATGTACCATTTAATGAAATTGGTCAAAATAATTGTTCTCAAATTCCTGGCAGAGACATTGGCAAGTAAGTCTAGATAATATATGACAAAACCTGTACAAGGTGACACACTAGAGGCTTTTAAAGATTCTAGTTTAAATATCAGTGGATTAGTAAGAGTCCTGGGGATACTTGATGACCCCTCTAATTATATTTTGCAGAAGTGGCCTTTGTCTTTGCCTGTAGTATTGTAAAAGTCAAAGGTGAAGGGAAGGTTGTCTTCCTCTGTTAGAATGAAAACTCCATGGAAATGGGAGCCTTGTCTTTTCAATACAACATTTTTATTTATTATTATGTATGTATAGATCGCTTCTCAGCCATTTGGCTAAGATCAAGTGTAGTATTATGTATGTATAGGTCCTCATTAAATGTTCTTTGACTGGATTCATGCCTTTATTAATTTTACCACCAAATTGCACCCACAGAATTTAACATCTTTCATTGTTTTGTTCTTCATTCTCATTTTCAGGATTTTCTGTATAAATTCTGAAGACAACGTCCTAATTAAATTTCTTTTTCTCTTTATGAAATTGCAGTCCTTACTTTCAGTGGATTAACTTTAAATGGACCTTTTCCATTTTTAGCTAGCCTTGGCTAATGAGAGCCTTCTCTGGATCTGTGATGTTCTTTGAAGTATAATAGCTAAATCAAGTAAGCTCTAAAATGTTGACCAGTACTGCAAAAAAAAAAAAAAACAACCAGTACGATTTAATTAGTGTGTTGGGTCAATGTTTTGGTTCATTTCGAACCTGTTGGACACATTTCTACTTTTTTATCTTATCTTTGATTTTAATTTAAACCTTAACAGACTTCTACGTAAGTCTTTCTTAAGGTTGGCTTACTAAATTTCCCTTTTGTGGTGTGTTGGGAGAAATTGAATTAATTTTGGAAATAAAAACAGTTTTTGATGCATATAATTTTCAAAACAAAGCATAACTAAAATTGTCTAATTTCTTTTTGCTTATGTATTGCTTATCTCTGTGTTTTAAGTATAAATGAAAAAGGTACCATTTCTAG